TCAAGTCAGATAGATGCATTTACTTTAAAATAGGAAGGAAGATATAGATATAAGAACTTTAAGGCCATGTCCTTGCTGGTCTTTGAAGTTAGTGATGTTCTTCTGGCTTATGTTAGTGGAATTTTTCTGCCATTGGCAATCTCACAGGAAATTTTTCAGGGTTAAATCTTACATATTTTCTCAAGCAATGTTATTACTGTAATCTCTCTAGAGTGAGGTAGCTGCAATATGTGCAGAATTTGGCCTAGGGGGGCTGTAGTAAATGAAAGTTTGTGATTATCTAATTTAGACCATGTCACCAACTACTTTTTTTCTTAAAACGACTCTTGTAGAGCTTCACTGTGGTCTGGGCTGAACAGTCTTTCTAGTTCTCTGGTAATGATCTTCTGCATCTTGACAGATGGGTGTGCAGCATAAATTTACCCAGAGGTTGAGAGTTTGAGCTGGTTGAGGAATGTTGGCTGTAGGCTAAAACTTTTTTAATTAGAAGTTTTCTGTTGGCAAACTTCATTTTGAGAAACCATTTTTCATTAGCTATATGGATTGCAGTGAAAATACTGAGAAAAGTTTTCCAGATTTCTGAGAGATTTCTCAGAAAAAAAGGAAAATATCCTATTAAAATGAAATTACATTTTGAAGTGTTTGATGTCTTATTCCATTATTTCATGACAGAACAGCAGTAACGATACATAATTGTGACAGACAGTGGAATGCTATGACATGGCTTGACTTGATACCAGGTGTCATGAGTTGATTCATGAATAATGAGAGAGATATAGAGTTTTAGAAATTTCTTGTTTAAATTTTTTTTTTTTTCACTTTCTGCAAAACTTAGAAGGCATTGATTTTCATTTGAAGTTGCCATGAATAAAATAATTTCAAATGTAGAATTTGCTCATAAAGAAAAAGAAATTCTAAGTTTTTCAACCATCTCTTATTCTTAGGAGGTAGCATTCAAGGTGTCACACCAGAACTGAACTGCACAAAGAAGAAACCGAACTATTTCATTTGCAGTCAGCTAATCCATTTCTGATCCCACCTGCTGCTTATAAACTAGACTGATTTTCTGTTCTCTTCTTGTATCCATGAAGTGTCCAATGAAGTCAACAACTGTTTCCCAGTTAGGGCCATGATTCAACAAATCCTATTTAAAATAATTGCTTCCACTTCAAGGGGCAACATGCAAACTGCTTTTAACATATTTTTCAGTCAAAGCAGAAACTGGCTTGTCCTAGGGTGAGAGGGCAACCCACGTGCTCAGCCTTAGGGGGGTGCTGGTTTACCATATAATATTGACCGTTGCTGTGAATGGCTGTTGTGGTTACTCTTCAGTGACATAATTTCTGTCTCTGTAGCAGCATTTTCTGTTAGTCAAACACAGATTCAGCCTGCATTGTTGGCATCTGCTCATAATGATGCTGATACCTATCCCTTTGAAGTGTAAAAATGTCTTGTCTTTGTTCCAGTGCACTCAAGCATGGAAGAGCATAAAATTTTGCCCGTAAGTGGTTCTTCTACATGATCAGTTCTTTTAAGTGATCACAGGTGTTTTCCATTACAGAACTAAAACAGAGGAGTAAATCTTACAATGGTGTAAATCAGGAGACACTCAATTACAGTCGCTGGCTTGGTTCTGGTCATCTTTTGTAAATCTAGAGTAACTCCAGTAAAGTCAATGGACTTACTTTGGATTTACTTTGGATCTAAAAGAGATTAGAATTTGACCTTAGGTGTATTGGCACAAACTTGTATAAACAAGCAAAGAAGGATTGAGAAGCTTTTTGCTTAGAAAAAGAAGAAAATATTAGGAACTATAGAGTGTTAGCAGGTTTGTAAGAATGCCGTCATGCAGAAGTGGGCACTGACACAATAAACGCAAGCTGGCAATTTAAGCTTGGCATCTCTACACTACAAAAAACTAAGCAGGCCATGTGTAAGAAAGAAGCTAACACAATATGTTTTTTTCTGGCAGTAAAACTAGTTTAAAATCTTTCCACCATCTTTTTCAACATTAACCATGTATTCTTGGCTTCACATTGCAGTTCACTATCTTGTTAGGTAAATAACTTAGTTGACAGAAACATTTGTGGTCCTGTGGTGTAAAGTTGAGTGATGAAATAATTCAGGTTAAAAAATAAAATATCCTCAAAGAAAAAAAAAAAGAAGAAAGCTATCTCAGAATAACAGTGTCTGATGGAATAAGCTCCATCTCCATAGTAATATAGATAAATGCCTACTGAGCCACATCTGTCTCGCATTCAGACAGACTCATCACCAAAAGAGCCCCTTATCGTGAAGCACTGTGGACACAGTTTCACTCCAGTGATCTCTGGCTCTTTCTTATGGAAAGAAAGGTAACATCACCCTGTTGACCTTTACTCTCTTCCATACCAGCTCTTGGGCACTGTACATCTCTTTTAGCTAAGCTATAAAAGTTAGACAACAATACAGGCTCTGGTAATTGCACTGGGAGTTGGACTATGAGCAAACATGGGCACTTCTTAACGGGATTTCCCCTAGAATAGAGAGGATCTAATGTTAGGTTGTTTTGTTTTTTTCGGTTTCATGTCTACAGAGCTTCTAAGGAGGGGACATTCATTGCCTCAGTCTTATCCTACTGAGCTTTTCCTCACTGTGCTACAGCTTCCCGGGATCCCTCCACATGGATCCTAGGACTTGCAAATGTCCACCTTCACTGCCAGGAGAAAAGGAGCTGCTCAATCTCTTTTCTTCCCTTTTTGAGTCACGTAGAAGGGATCCTATGGATGCTCTGAGAAGGCTACAGTGCTTGTCAGGGAGGGTACATCTGGATGGACTGATAAAACAGGCATGCTCTGCCCCTGCATTGAGCTAACTGGATGCATCCAGAAGCCATGCAGCACTATGACCAAGATAATATATGCTGCTTCTGTAGCTAGCTAAGCTGTATGGCTTCTGAATCATATCTAACTTGCATACATCCTCAAGAACATGTAGTTTTTTCCCCAGTCTATTGGAAGAACTACTTAAATCACATGAAATCCATTAGCACCTATTGGTGGCAACCACAACATGCCTCATGTGGCATTTGGAAAGCTCCAAATGACCACAGTGGTGAGCTGGATCTTCATAACCTCAGTTAGAAGAAAGGTGAACACTCTTCAGATTTTGAAGGGTTGTTACACAGAACAAAAAAAACCAGTTGGAGGAAAATTTGATCCAGAATAGCTCTTTTCAGATGCAGTGACATTGCCATTATTCAGATTAAAGCATGACCCTTTTCAAGTGTGATTGGCAGATGACACTGATATTAACAGAGACTAGCCATGACTGTGCTTGCTAGCCATGAAATTAATGTGACAAAGAGAGAGCAGTACAGAAAGGGTTTGATAGATTAATCAGACAAAACACTGATTCTGATTTTAGAGTTAAAATAACGTCTTCCTGGCTCTTTGGGAACTGTAGGTGCTGTCCTGATCATTGTGCAATTCTGTTGAACATCTATGTTATTACCTTTTTTTTTCAAATAGCTACTGTTATTTTCAATAGGAAAATGTACCCATTTGTATCAAAGGGGTATACTTGATCTATGACTCTGTTTAGCTGTCAGTTTAGACTTAGCATTGAAAAAAAAGCAGGTTTTGCCCTTTTTCTGCAAGTACGCACGAATTATTGTTATTTAATGAGCAGTCATGATACTGAAATTTAGGCTTTGTAAGTGAGTGCTCTGTTTTGACTCTGCCTTCTCAGTAAACCCATATGTGGTTCCGCATAACTTCCACAGACTGTGCCTTTGCTTTTGTTTACAATGTAGACCCTCATTATTTCACAACTTATTTATTTAATTCCCTTTTCTCTACTCCTCCTATTCCACCCTTTGCACCTATTCACATACTTCATGGAGAAAAATGTGAGCAAACCTCTACTCAATTATGTCACCTTTTTATTTCCCGAACTTCATGTGGTTCCCTTTCTCAAAGGTAGAAAACACAGCTATGTCCAGAGCTGGAGTTAATTAATGTCTGGATTCTCTGTTGGTTTCAGCAGACAAATTCCACATTTTTGACTGTTTTTAGAGTAGAAACTGGTTCACTTTTTTTTCCCAAGAAAGCTTTATGACATTCCACACTGCATTAAGAGTAATACTGAATGTATTAAAAGCTTTGTTTTTTTATTCTTACACCAACTCCTATATTGCACTGTTTTAGCCCTTGCACAGTTCCTTGCAAGCAAAAATCTCTCAGATAGATAATATTTGATTCGGCTGATATATGATACTGTAGCAATATTTATTGATAAATATGTAATGTGCTATCCTTGTTTATAGCAATTTAGCAAGATTCAAAAGAGATTGGGTAGACAGATAATTAAGAATAACTATTCCTTTAGCAAAGAACCCTTGTTTACTAGCAAATTAGGAACATTCAAAACAGGTTGGATAGTTAGAAAATTAAGATAAATAACTAAATTCTTTTGGAAATGATACTAAGGGTCATTTTTGAGGTATAACTTAATCCCTAATCCTTAGAGTTTGGGCAGAAGTCTGCTATGGAGTTCACTGCAGCAGGATGTATACATAACACGCCAACTGGCAGCATCCTCTTTCACCTTTGTTGTCCAGCCTGGCCTCTGGAAGACAGTGGATTCCAGCGCAAACCTGTAACCCACATGGACATGGTTATGATCATGTGTTAGTAGATTATTAGATGATCTCCTTTTATGCAGTGCTACATTTCTTTGCTGTGCCTGGTGGTGACTATAGCAGGAGATAATATCTCCTAACAGATGGATTTAGGGTCTGATCTAGTCTATAGTTTCTATTTTCTTATCAAAGGCCTTTAACATAGTTCTTTCTGTATGTTGCTATTCCAGGAGAAAGCATAACTTTTTCTTTCTTTTTTCTTTTTCTTTTTGAGTAGTGTTTCATGGAATGAGATCAAATTGCCCAGAGTTTAAAGACTCTAACCCCAGAGAGAATCAGTTTACAGATGGAAATGGCATAATAGAATAAAACATGTTACCTTCCAAAGTGTTTCGGAAACTGTAATTGGCCATTTTATCCATGGGTCCAGATTCATACTGAGTCAGTGATAGGCAAAATTCAACTTCAGCTGAGGATGGGAGCCTTGGGGTCCTTGATTTATCATTGTTCCCAGGATTTCGCAGTATAGGCCCCTCACTTGAGGCATTGCATAAAGCCTGTTGGCTGTTGTACTCTTCAGACCGAGTACAAATTACCTGTATAAAACACTTTCTATTAGCAGAGTTGCAATTGTAAAAAATAAAAGCAAACAAAAGAGATGATACTTTGATTTTTTTTTAAAGGAGCAAAGAAAATGTACAATGTAATTAGTTTGTTGCAAAAATACATATTAATATTTAGATTTTCTATGTATGATTTTAATATATGCTGGGTTATTTCGTAGAAGACACCCCTCTACTACAGTGCACATTTTGAAACAATACACTAGTCTGTATCTGAAACTACCCACGTGGACTAAGGCATCAATTCTCATTTATGGCCTTGAGAACTCACTGAGGTTAAATTCAGTGTTACCTACCAATGCAGCAGGACACAGAGTTAAATCTGCTGCTGCAGTTGCTAAATGGAGGCTTTTTGGCTTCAGCAAACTACTGAACAAAGCCACAATTGCAGATTTTTCTCCCCACATATTAAGAGGGGGAATTGTTGACTTGGGATACAAAAAAAAAAAAAACTTTTATTCTGAAAATATCTGTCTGTGCTTTGTTAGACTAAATGGTCACTTAGTTTCACTATGTCTTGATGATGCGATATGTACAAAATGGGAAAAGATGCTGCTCTACTTCAGAGGAATGTTGTGGGGATGAACATACATCACCAGCTGAGATACCATAGTGATGGGTATTGGGAAAGGGATCTTAAAGAGAGAGATGCATACAGATATTAAATACTATCAGAATGCAGCATCCTTTATCATGTTCTGGGTTCACTGGTAAAGTCCAGTTACCATGGCATAACAAGTCATTATTTGTCAGATGATCTGTGGAATCTGCCAGTCGGATTTGAGGCTCCTGGAAGAGCAAAGTAGTTCAATGTAACTTCAAATGATAGTCAGCTGGCTGAGTCAAATTCCTGCACATTTGCCGTGGGTTAAAAGTGCCCACACAGACTGTCAGTGTCACTAAGGTGCTGCTCAATATCTTTTTAAGCCACAATAACTTATTTGTTACCAAAGGGCATGGGTCCTCTGATGACCATGAGCTTTTATAGTAGCTCTCACTGCATCCCCTCCTTGGCCAGTGATTGGAATGAGAAGGAGGATTTTTTTCATGTTCTGGTACAATAAACCTACAGAGAGTTAGTACAGGTACTAACTCATATTTCTACTTTATATTCAGGAACTTGCCTGACATGGAGTCAGGATGGAGGCTGGAGAAAAATATGATGACACAAAATGACAAGCGGAAGATCAGACTACAGGGTTTGGTGGGTGTGCATAGCAGTACAGCTGACGGGTCTATGAAACAGAATAACAGTGGCTCAAAACTCCCAGAAGTTGTTTTGTATCCCTTCCAGGTGAGGCTGAGGCTCTGAACCAAAACTGCTGTCTATTGTTTTGCTTTTTTTCTGAAAAACCCACCAAAACAAATAAAACTCCAAACCACCAGAGATCCTGTCAAAATATAGGACTCTGTGGTTAGCAGGTAATCAATGTGGTTAATGAGAACTTTGTGTGGAGAAAGAACAGGCCTCATTATTGAGTGAGACATCATAGGGGAGAAAACACATAACACTAAAACCTCCAGACTTCTTTCATCCTGGAGGCATACTTATATTTCACGGACCAAAACAATGAACGAGAAGGTGAGTGAAAGCAGTCATATCTGCTGTGAATGGGATGGAAGAACATGAGATTCTCTGTTAGTGAAGGAAGTGAGTGGGAGATTCATTTCACCAGCACAAATTGGTGTACAAACTGTCAGACTGAAGCAACACTTTAGGACGACCTCTGCAGTCAGCAGAGAGAGGCATCTCCAGAGCATGATTCAGCCCTCCTAAGCCAGATGTCTCGTAGGTGAGATGTACTTACCTCTAGGGGTGCCTAACTCTCTCCATTGACTAAGTCAATGAAATAAAATGTGTAAAAAATCAATGCAGAGACTGTCTCTGGACTGCAGTTAGCAAGGGGAGAAAAATTAAGAGTGTTCAACTTAATGCTCTGCTTCTGCATTAGGATGGGATGAATCACACCCTGGAGGCAGGGACGTGCCTCTGAAGTGACTACAGATAGAGCCAAAGGCAAGTTGCTTTACTGCCTAGCTAACTTTTGAAAGAGTGGAAGGAGATGAGATGAATCCTTTTCTAAGTGATTTGACCACAAATTCACAGAAAATGTATGACAGAGCTGCTGATATAACCTAGATTTCTTAAGAATCTGGAGTTCTTAATGGTAAGTTTCCTATGAATATGAATCTCATGAATAAATTATTCTCTTTTTTTTTTTTGAGGAGATAAGAAAACTTATCAGAGAGGTTTATCCTTAGAGACTGCTCTAGTAGCTGAAATCGGCCCTAGTCTGTTAAAACCACTAAGGTGCCCTTGGAGACCATAGGTAGTCGTCCAGCAGAGAGTGTCATGTGCACATTGCCCCCAGAAGCTCACCAAGTGGGTGAGGACTGTGCCTCTAAGAGGGACTGGGGTCAGGACTGTGCCGCTAAGAAGTCTTTTAAGAATCCCCAGCGAGAAGGGAGAGCAAGCGACAGGGAGAGACCTACAGTTATAAACATAAAGCGTAGCTACGGTGCTGTTTTTATGATTGTTTTGTGTTACTGAGAGAGTTTATTCCCATTAGAAGGAAAACAGAGGGATGATTCAGGCTGAGGGAGATGCTCTAGTAATTTGTTTATAAAAATGCACAGTCCTTTGTCCCTAGAAGTGCATTAGGGAAGAAGGCAAGTGTGTCTTGACTGGTGGAGCTCAACCCATTTCCCAGTTGGCACTTGGCTCAGAAACTACATACCTTTGGATTTTCTGTTCAGCTCTGTTTCATATGGACTTTATCTTCTTCTGGCTTCTCTGCCCTTCCATCTCCTATCTTTTCATCCTCTCCCCACTGCCTTGGGGATATATCCCTGTTGGATCCTAAAAAGGAACCACATGCTGCCTTCAAGACTGGCTTTTCAGATATTCAGACAGGGAATCTTCAAGCATGAGCTCAAATATATCTAAACAAAGGAACATTTCCCCTTTGTTCTGTTTACCCATTTCAGTGGGATTTAATGCAACTGTTAATGTTATAAGGCTTATAAATGCTAATTTTTTTTTTCCCATTTATGTCTCATTGTAGCCTTCATTAACTGTCTGACTAACCGAATTCATCTTAAACAGAAGTCAGATGCTATAAGGCATCTGATAACTCATGGTCAAGAAATGCCAACATAAGGGCAGGAATGAAAATGCTTATCTGTGGCCTTCTGCTATTTGTTCTGAACTAAAAATTAAACTTTGGCCATAAAATTCCAGAAATGTGTAACTTAGGTAATATAAATTATGGGTCTATCCTGAAACTATCTTTGCTGTTTTATCAATCATGTGATGTATAAGTGGTAATAGAACATAGGTCAGTTAAAAGGTCCTTTCTGGATGTAATCTGCATAAAGCACACACAAAATGCCTTCCCTTCATTCAGCAGCCGGACTTTCTACTAGAAACATGCTGTTTTAACCCACGATTTTTTATTCCCTTTCAGAACAACTCTGAGCAAATTTCTCAGTTCATGCCGGGCAAAGCTTTATATTCGAACTGCACCCAATGCCTGCTCTCCTGCATGCGTAAACTCACCGGCTGCAGGGAAATTGTTAGGAAGATACTCCAAGGAAAAGCTTATGTAAGTAGTTAGCAGAGCAAATGCCGGTAGATGGCAGTCCAGAATATGCAGCATCGCTCCTGGGTCTTGTAGCACCCAGCAAAAAAATCCCTCCGTGCACTGCAGTTGAGATGTTTAGCGCAGCTCTTTGTATCGTTTCTTCGAAAACAGACTGTAAATGTGTGGAAGTGTTGCTGCTGTCTCGCACCTTTTCACAAACGGGAAGCCCTTTTGTCTTTTAGTTTGCAACTGCTTGCACAGACTAGCCCCTGTGCCTAAATAAAGTGAATTACATTACAGGAGTCTTCAGCAGTGTTCAGTCCTTTGTCTGCTATTTTTCAATTCAAAGCTTTGGGGGTTTTAGTAACAAATTCTTTTTGGTTGCTTAGGACTTATTAGATCTGTGCTCACAGGTCCATGCAATACGGGTAATATATACCTGACCCTTGGAAAAAGGTTATTTTCTACGGTATTGAAATAGCTGCTCACTTACAAAGAGATCTGAGGTTCCTCAGTTTGCTGGGGAAGTACGGCCACTCAAAGGGTTAATCCACACCTCTGCTTCCTTTAGAGCTGGTCCCTTGCTCTGCCTCTCTTCTGAGCCCACCGAGCAGGAGTCTGCCCCCGTCCAGAAACTGTATCAGCATGTTTTCGTAGTGTTATGCTCCAGGTTAATATAGCCTAAAAGAACCACTTCAGACTACAGCCAGAGCAACCACATGACTTGCTTACCTGTGGCGCCCATCCCAGCCCTCCCAAGGATGTGACGTGGGCACTTCCTGGCCCTCCTTGACACATCCCCGTGTCTCCGTTTGTCCTACATGAAGTCTAGACTCTTGAACTGGAGCCTTGGGTCCCATTATGCGGCCAAAAGAGATTTTGCACTGATTCATTGCCTTTCTCTGGCTTTCTCCACTTATTCTCACATCCTTGCTTGGGAACAGGATTAAAGTGCAGCCCTCACACTGGATTTAAAATATTTGGCAATTGCAAAGAGGTTTAATTTTTACTTTTTTGGCTGTATTAGGGCATGGCATAATCCAATCCTAATTAAGCGGCATCCAGAAGCCATTTACTCACCAAACTGAGAAAATACAAGGGAAATCCCCAAATAACCTGCAACAGAACAAACTGTACTTTGGGGACTTGCTTTTATAGGCAGAACTTTAAAAGATGCTATATCTACAGCAGACCAAAAACTTTTTAAGAGACTGTGTATATTTGTATCTGGATCTTCATATACTCCTGAATATTAGCGGGAATGGAAAGGTAAAACAGGCAGAGGACTGAATGAAATGAAGAAAATTTGGAAAGCAAAGCTTTAAGGAAATTCTAAGACACATATCTGTGCAAGGATAAAGTCATTAATTATCTTTCTGACCCTTATAGTGTGTACATTAACTGGAGGACCTGTGAAACTGAAGCTAAGAGGAGATGAGACAAACATGAAGTGACCGCACTGAAACAAAGCCAGGGCCTTCAAGGTATTTTCTCAGCCTTCAGTAAAAGCTGGCTGAGTTTCATCTCTTTGCTCAGAGGCAGCCCAGAACCGGGGGGTAACTTACATCACATTCAGCACCTCAAAATGGTGCTGAGGTGGAGTAGAAAACTCTGTTATCAATTACTGCTGAAATATTCATTAACACTTTCTGGTTTGGCAGACCGTGATTCCCTCCTCTCTGGCTGTCTCCAAGCTGTACCATTAGTGTTGCTGTCTCCATCTCTACCGCAAATTCACAAAGACCCATCTCCCTACAGGTAGGCTTCTTTTTCTGGTGAACTATTAACAAAACTCAGTTTTTATGAAATTCCTTAGCTATTAATTTATACACTTCTGAAGATGTTTATCTTTTACACTACACGACTCCTGAGCAAGCACGGCTGTATACTAGAGAACAGCCAGGCAACCACAGGCCAAACTGCTGTCACCCACTCGTGATCCCGTGGAAGAAGGGGTATTACTCTGAGGATACCCGAGTGGCTGCTCCTGCTGTGCACAGATCCTGATTTCCTCAGGCTGTGGGACTGAGGTGTGGCATGTGGAGACTTACCTCTTTGTAATAGGAAATGTTTCAAATTTATAACCCATGTAAGCATATCATTAGGAGATCAATCTTGATAAACTCTTATTTTACAGTTACTTACTCCGTTTGGGCTGTTGTTTTTTTAATTTACCAGCCTGTAGCTGTCTCCAAAATCTATTAAGTTGCAATAAAAAATAAAGTCATTGTGTTCATGAGATGCTCAGGCATCCACAAGCAGATGGATGTAAGATTTTGGCTGATTTAAGAATCAAGAAGTGTTGGCTTCTGGTGTTTGTATTTTTGAAAATTTCTTGCAGTTTTTAAAGGTGGACATAAAATAGTGCTTCAAAAGATCCTCTCAGACTATTCAGCTAGCAATACAGCTCCCTGATAAACTGTGCTTAGATTTAAATAACTGTGTCTGAATAGCTAAATTTTGTATTTCTTATGAAGTCATATTTTCAGGTAATGGATCTAAAGTACTGTCATTATTAGTTCAGGAGCATTATATCCATTTTTTATTTGTGTAACTTGTTTCCCTTTTGTAGCAGCTTTGCATTTGTGTAAGTGGTTCTGCAGGGTGATACAGAATGAAGTGCTAAGGGAAACTCTCGGTGCTTGCAACAAAGAATTGGCTGCAGGCTGACACCAGCACATCTGAGAGCAGACAGCTCTCCACGTTATGCAATTACTTCTCTCAAGTCACTCTTCTTTCAGGAGAGACAAAATGCAGGGAGTTAAAGTTGGTGGTATAGCCTGCTTGCCACAATAGCAAACCTAAAACAGCACTTACATTCTGCTGCTTTATTTTCTTCATCGTCTGTCTAGCACACTGTGGGGATCCCCAAACTCTGATGTTAACTGCCAGCAGAAAGACTCTGCTTTTATTTGCAGAAGGCTTTTTATGCATTTGTAACTTCACTGACTTCAGTTATTTCTCCAAATTAGTTCTGGTGCAGAGGAGAGTAGAATTTCACCTACTATTATTTAAGTGAGACATAATAGTTATTTCTTTAGCAAATCCATTATCTTGAATAATAATAGAAATGGGCACTAAACCAAAAAACTCTCAAAATGTCATGGAAGATCTCCATTTCCCACATAGCTTTCCGTTAAGTCGGCAGGGAATTGCAAAATCTGGTAAAGCATTAGTAGCTGTCATGCAGTCCTAATTCTGAATGCAACACTTGAATAATCAGAAACAAGTAACTGAAAACTTGAGAAAATCCTTCCCACCTACCCTAAAACATAAGCCAAGCAAACAAATAAAAACACTAAAGATTCCTGATAGTCCTGGTAAAAACAGAGGCAGAAATCAGAAGTTTCACTTAGATGATAAACATGAGAAAAATGTGGACATATAATTCACTTAGCTAAGAGGTAACAGCAGCATGTTGAAGAAAAAGTAAGGCGAAAGCAAGAATTTCAGCATGTATTCATGGGTATCCATGTTGCCATGGCAACTTCTCAATGGAATAAAGTATTTTCTCCTTTCTTTAGGGTTTAAAAAAAGTGAGAGATGCTGTTCTGCAAATAGGCACTTTACCTTTTTTTTTCAATAAATCTATAACTATTTCCTAACATAGCAGGCATTGCTTTGTTATGCTTTGGAAAGAGACTTAAAAATCCAAAACGGACACCATATTATAGATGTGTTATTCAAAAGGTTTCTCTTGCCCTCTTTTTATTTTGAATGCTTATTAAAAGCCTAAATTCCTTCACATTTCTGGATCCTCCTCTTTTTTTTTTTTTCTCTTGCTGTTTAGCTACAGAGCTTGGATAATCAGCGTATTCTGCAGCTACGGCTGTTTTCCAGTTCAAGCTAAGGTTATTTTTGCTGCCTTTTGGTTTTCTGGAGTGAGATTCTGATCTCTTGAAGGAACTGCATTGACTAAGTTATTCCATCATAAGCAATTGTTTAAATTTGGATTCAAAGCTAATACAGAAATATCAGTTTGTGTTGCATCTTCACCCCAAACTCACTGACTGAAAATGCAGATCTGTTCAATCTCTTTCACTCCTTCTCTAGATAAGACAGCAGAGATATACACAGATATAAGACATTAAAGGGGAATAATACCCTTTCAAGGTAAAGTTATTGTAGCCCTGTTTTGGAAATTTTGACAAAATTGTAGCATTTCCAGAAGTGGCTGAAAAATATAAGTGATAAGCACCCATTTTCACAAATTACTTGGAAAACTTCAGCAAAGGACTTAGGTGCTCTTACATATATACACGTATACTGAATATGTTCTAAACACAGCACAATTTGTATTGTTGCACCTATTAAAGTTATACAAAAATACCTGTTAAAGCAACTTGTTTCATAAAAAACTGTCTTTATTTTCAGAATATATTTGTGGAAACTGACCTTAAATTAGAAGTTATAAATCTGTTTCTTAAATATACTCATTACTACTCATAAATTTTCTGGGTACTTATTACCAGGATGGAAAAATTCTAACACTCTGGATATGATTAGTATTACCTTTGAAAAAATGAGCTAAACATAAATATCTGACCCTTCCAGGTCTTTTAGAAAATTCTGCTAGCAACTTGCTGATTCCTTTATACTACCTGCCTCCTACTACCTTGGTTATCTCATCCAATATATTGTATTGATAGCTCCACTTGACACATGTAACCAGTGCAATTCTAGTTTCATTTAATCCACTTTAACACCTGTTCCATTTTCACATAACTCTTTATTCAGCTCAGTGCAGAACAGCATCAGATCCACTTCATTCTGGTGATGCAATCTAATTAAGTTAGGAGAGTTCATCTAGATTCATACTGCTAGAAATGAGCAGAATCTTGAAAAATGGGATGAAAATACATGTTTGTAGCTATATCTACTTTATGGCTATGCCTACACTGGTAAATTAAATGTGGCCAGAAACTCTGCTGGGCAGTGAGGCCAAATGGCATGAGATAATCCATGTCTGTGACAGTTAGCCTCCCAAACAGGGTGGCTATATGCAAACATCCTCCTGGAAATGGTCCCTGAAAAGTACCTTTTTGGGGGAGAACCGGTCAATACATACAAAACATATGGCAGAAAATGTCCTATAATAGGTTTGTTACAGTATATGGAAATGTTTGAATTTACAGGTATATACACAGCATATATTGTCTAGAGGACACAAATCAAGGCTAAATACAGTATAACCCGCCCAGTTAGTTGCTGTTTTGTAATGCCAAAATATCAGAGAACTGCTTGTATCTCTTTCACTTTCCATTAAATCACTAAAACTGCCCAACCTTCATGTGGGCTGTTGCTACAGAAATAAATAGAACAAAGATAGATTTACACCAACATAATCATAGACTTCAGCACCAGAAAGGACTGTTGCTATTGTCATGATGGAGTGTGTCTATGGAAGCCAATAGACCTTTTTACTGTATTTTAGGCGATGTGGCAGTAATAAGCAAGAGACAAAAAAAGAGTTCTAGAAGCTCTCAGTGTCAGAACAGCACAGTATAGTTCAGCTATATGAGACCATATATAAATTTACCTTGGTTTAATTTGCAGTGCCTTTAAGTAGCAGGAATAACTATTGAGTTACGTAATTAAGCAGCCTAAATCCTACACTCAGAGAGAGAAGAGACAAAGAGACAAATTAACAGCTCTAAATGAAGTTTAAGTCCACATAAAATCTGATTTGCACTCTGGTAGTGCCTACTTTCTCTCCAGGAACATCTAAGGGAATGCAGCATGGCTAAGCTCCCAGCTTGCGCACCTCACTTAAGTGCCTAGAGTCAGGTAGGATAATTCTGGGACAATCAGCCTTTCCCTTCCCCTACCCCTTGGCCTGTCCTCACCTGCCACGAGGAGAAAAATGACGCTGGGCTGAGTAAATTAGGGTTGGTGGGATGTCTGCCACCCATGTATTCATCAGTGCAGACCACACAGTCCTCTGCATCTCGCCAGTCCCAGTAGGGGATGGTGAAGTTCTCATCACCTGTTATCTTCTGGATCTCACGTTCCCACATCAGCAGAAAGACCCGATGCCAAGGCAGAAAACCAGGGGCTTCATGGGCAAAATCAATGTCCCGCCACACATTGGACCCACCTAAGAGTGTGTCTCGAGAGGCATAATAATGCATCCACACAAAGACATCATACACGTTGGTGTTTGTGAACATAGGGTTGGAGCCATTGTTCATCTGAGTATACGTGCCAGTAGCAATAACATAGTCCTGGCTAGGGGTGTTCTTTGCCAAGTTAAGGTAGGCAAGAAACTTGTCCTTCTCACTGGTGGTGAGCTGAAAGATGTTTCTTCTTGTTCTCAGTTGCCTTTCAGTGCAGTTGAGTCCTGAGAAACCAAACTTGCACTCCCCACAGTTGAATCCCATGAAGTTGCCTTCGCATTTACACGTCCGGTTGTAAAATACAGAGGGCCAGTCCTCCCTGTCATCCACTCCTGAGAAAGGGAACTGTGGTCCCAGCGGAGCCTGAGAGAGAAGGATGTTCTGGCAGGACCCTCTGCGGGAAAGCTCCCCACAAGGGGACCCGTCTCCATCCCAGGGGGGACAGCACTCCTTCGTCAGCAAGCTCTCTGTGTTTGCACAGGCTCTGGGGAACTGCCCGGTGGACGGCTCAAGGATGACTAGCAGAAAACCCATGGCAAACAGCGACATCCTCACAGAGCAGCAGGAGAGCATCAGCGTTACGCTTCAGTGCATGGAGTGCTCTCTCTGACCCCTCCAAAGCCCTGGGTGTGAAAGAAATTCCTCTCCTCCACCAGGAATGCTTCACTGCTGACTTCTGCGACAGTGCACCCTCCAATGTCCTTCCCCATTCCTACCCTGGATGCATTTACACACAAAATACACTTCAGGGTTAATCTGATTATCACATGTTCTGGGTGAAAGCCAAGTGACTTCTTTCCCCACCCCCTCCAGGTTTCCAAATACAGGCATTTATTATAAACTTTCATCTTCTGTCTAGCACATGATTGCTTTCCTCTGGCAATTGGAGAGGAAGTAAATTAAAATTTGGACAGAGAAACAATTGTCGGCTCTTCAAATTCCTTGTTTGATTATATGCTTTAGAGTAAACGGTTGTTTAAAAAAAAAGACTCAGAAGAATCTGATCAGTTAAATAAGCACAGTGAACCTAAAAATTAGAAAATAAACAAACTGGGGATAAGCTATCTATTTTTTTAAGAGGAAGCAAACATAAAATGTGGTCAGATTAAGTGTGAACATAGGGCAGAATCAGAATAAATGGTTTGGCTTGGCATTTTTGTATTGCAGTGTAAGCTGCCTTTCCCAGGCCAGCACACAGCAAAGTAACTTCACAAGGGAAGCGATAAACTTTTCAGAAAAAAGTAATTTTTTGTTCCCCTAAAATCCGTAGCGCTTTGACAGTTAATGACATACTGAATTCTGCACCCAAATCTTCTCGCAGTTTTGTGGGGTATACAGGCAATCTGCCGATGGATTTGCAGAAAGCACTTTAAGCAGCTGTCTCTGGACCTGGAAAACAAACCTTGACTCCTGTTTTTCTCCCATCAGGCAGTTTTGCAAACACCGTATCTGTGTTCTTTACTCAATACCTTACTGGGCAGCCTTCAGAACACCCACTTCTTTCTTCTCATACATTAGCCTGATCAGAGCTAACGGAGCTGTATGGGTGGCATTAAAAGTTATACATTCTTTGAAGTTTCCCCTTGAAGCAAATGGACAGCAGTTGTTTTACTGCTGGGCAAATTGCACATGAATTATCCACAGTTTTCTTCAGCTACCATTGTTATTAGCAAGAGTGGTTTTGTTGGTTTTATTTTTTTACTAAAAGCATTGTGAATTATTTCCTTATGCTTAGGGAGAATCCCAGCAGGGCAGGAATAACATATAGGAAAATTAAGTGAGAACTCTGCTGGGAAACGATGCCTTTTGCTGGGATCAGCAGGTCATCACATGACCGTGCTGAGGAGCACGAGGTGCTTTAATCCTGTTGGCTTCTACGCCTCTGGTATTCCAGGAGATTATCCCCGAGTCCCGCTGCCAGGGAGCCTGTGGTGGGGGAGCTTGGAGCAAGAAGGGCTAAGGAAAAGGAGTTGCTTTTTCAAAAAATGTTTCTAACCACAGCCTGATGCTTACTATTGTTTGACTGATTCCCCTGGTTTCCATGCTACGGTTGTAAAACAGATTTCATCACAGAAATGTTACTTGTTTGATTTATTTTATTTTCTCTGTGCCTGGCTGTTTGGGAAACCTTTGCAATTTATTTCGTTTACCGTTCCTCCATAGAGGCTAGTGTAAAACTACTATACGTGAGAAGAGACTCGTCTCTGAAGATAACGATATATATATTTTAATTTTCACAGAAAAACTACAGGGATTGGGAAAGGCTTGAGGTAGAGCCTCAGAGCAAACCACAAAACCCCTCAAATATATATTTAGGCAGATGGTCATACGCACAAATACATTCAATATCCTATTTTTGTATTCAAATGAGATTTTAAGTTCAATGTTAAAAAATAAGAATCCAAGTCGTGACAGTTGTCATGACAAGTTTCTGAAGCAGCTGGTTAACAGAGGAATCCCCTGTGAAACGATATCACTGAGAAACTCTGAATGAGGAATGTGACTGAGGAGCAGCACACGCCCTTCTTGACCTACTGTTGAGCTGAGTCCTGTTTTGAATAACTGTCAGTGATTCGGATAGTAGTTGAGAAATCAAACTTTCCGTATATCAGCAGCAGTAAGCGTTAAAAAAGTAAGAAAATATGTGTTCCTATTCCCATGTGTGACTGTAGAGTCACCAAAACATGAGACAGTCACACCTTACATGCTGCATCTGGGCAAAATTCTCTTCATTAAGAAGGCCTCATGGGACTTTCCATCTTTCTTGTGCTTCAACCTAGCACTCTTTATTTCATTGTTCATCTAATAAAGCCATCATATCTGCATGAAGTTTGTGCATAAGTTGAATTTAGTCTTTGTGACTGAGAACTCTTGCCCTTGTGTTCTGCCTGTGGGTTGGCATCATCTTGCCTTATGCTCTGAGAGACCTATTTCCCACACCTGGGTCCCTGCTTTTGAGTATGGGTCAAGACTTACTTATTTAAGGTACACAAATGCTAGGTGCACCATAAGATCAGCATGGTTAAAACACACCACTTTCTGTATCGGAGAACATGAAAGACAGGGGCTTGGTGACCATATCCAACTTTACTTGATTCCAAAGCATAAATGGCCAGGAATCACTTCACAATTGGGACTTGTAGAGGCAACCTTCAACAACAAACTAGCACAGGCTCTGCCTCATGTCCCTAAATCTTAACTCCACCCTAAAGTTTGCAACTGGATCAGTTAAAGCACTGGTTTCAGTCTAGTAGAGTAGCACAGTAATGACAGTATTTAAAATCTAATTTGTGTTTTCATTACAAGGTCCTTAAGTGCTTTGTAGAGATGTCAATAATTATTGGAAGGAAAACCCTCAGACAGAGAGCAGTGAGATGTCTTCCTGAAGTTCACGTGCTGGCTTGCTTGTGGTGTTAAGATCAGATTTTCAGCACTATGCTGCAATGCTAAACCAAACTTTGTATAGACACAGCCTGTGGCTTTCTGATGTGGTTATGGACAAAGAAAAGGAACAATCCAAATAAAAGCAATGGCATTGAATGACTATTCGTATTACCTCATAAAATGAACTCTTGGTCTCCTCAGATCTGAGTGGGCTGATCTTCAAAAGATCATTTCTTCCTTTTGGAAGATGTCACAGGAAATTTCTATTCTGGGCTGCTGATACTGAAGCAATCAAAGTTTCAAGTAATATTAGTGGGTTTGAAAAAATTCTGATAGCTGGATGACACTGCGAAGAACGTATCTCTCAATATTGCTTGTTAACACTTTTTAGGAATTCTGTGGGGATTTTAGGGTCCAGTTGTCTATGTTGAGCAGGGAAAAAATGAAATCCAGGATGGGAAAATGGAGCATAATTTTTTATTAGAATTATTTTCAAAGTTAAGTATAAAACTGTGAAAAAACAAAGGCTGGATAGAAAAAGTTGATGCAGCTCAGTTCCAGCAGAAAGAAAAACTGTCAAGAGAAAAAGAGAAAAAAAAACCCATAGTTATTTAGATGGATAAGTACAAGGGCCTCTTGACAATGAGAGAACACTGACAAATGGAAGGAAAGATAGTCAATTAACCAGCCAGGAAGTTCAGTCTGACAAACCAGTAGGCTCAGGTTGTGCTCTCTGATCCTTACCTGTTACTTGCTGTTCAGCATCAGCATCCTTACGCTCTGCGTAAGGCACCTGGTTTCAGATGTTTTCCTGAGCTCCTGTTGAGCTCACATTTCATGTAGCAGAAGGCCAAAGTATCGTTGTTTTCCCTTGCCCCATGACCCGTGTGCCAGATGGAGCTATCAGACTCCTCAGTGGTTTTCCAGTCAGCCAAATCTGGCTCCTGGCCCCCAGGAGAAAGACAACAGGGGTGGATGTAGGATGATGACACATGTCATAGATACTAAGTTGTGGTCAAAACCAGAACGAAGAATCCATCTCCTGGTTACTGATAAATGGGGAAAGGAAGTTTAAGAAGAGTCCTGCTTATCGTTAAGAGCCATGAAGCAGCTAGGCATTTAAACATTACACAAAGAGGAGGAAAATACTCAATTTCTATTTATAATCAACTTTTTATCCCTAGGTGGAAAAAAATTCAAGTTCCTGATTAGAAAGTAAGAATTTCACTAAGTTCACTCCTACTAATCAAAGCTCTTTACTAAGAAGCAGACTAGAAATTCCCACAAGCTTTTTAGCCTAAGACAAAGACCTCCACACCTTTTGGTACGATATTTGAAAATAAGACGTAAACACCCATTTGGATGTATGAGAGGAGGACAACACCAGGCTCAAAAATTATTCTGAATGCTGCAAGTAACCAACTTTTAACTCAGGACCAGCATACCTAATATGCAGTCCACACAGCTGATGGTCTGATAGATGTAACCACGGGCATATTCAGCCATGAGTGGGATGTTGTGCCCCTAATCTGAAATTCAGTGCAAGGTTCAATTAAGCTTGACTTGTACAGCGATTCAAAGCACTCCTGTCACCCCAGCCAGCCTTAGCCCTGAACTCTTGCAGAAAGAATTCACAGGTGTAGTTGGCTTCCCAGGCTAAAGTTGTGTTATCACGGTTATGAAGAGCAATCCTGCATTAGCCGATCAACCCCCTTCCTGATCCTAATGTAACCTGGTCCATGCATGAATCAGTCAGAGAACACAAGGCCAGTGTTATTGTTTTATGAGTTTTATAGTGCATGCAAAGAGGAGAAATACTTGTTCTAGCAAAAACATAAAGGTGTGGACAGATGATGTCTGATCGGTCGCAAAGCCTGTTGGCACAAAGTTAATCTATCCATCTTAACAACATCAAATCAGTGAGTTTTACTGGATCAGTGCTTTTATTATGTGGCCATGGTTTTTTTGATCTGATACTGGGAGCCCTAGAGACAGACTTAGTGCACTAGAAAATAGGTATTCAAGTTGGACTGAAAACATAGGCTAAGTATTACGGGCAACATCTAGGCGTAAGAAAAAAAGTCATTGATCTGCAGTCCAAAGCAAGGGAGAAGAGGCACTGATGGAATCAGAGCAATAAAAGTATAGAAACAGCAGCAAAAGACAAAAGGCAGTTTTCCCCTGTTAAAGACTGAAGACGGTATGAAAGTAGTTACAAACCTATCAATCTACAATATACATAATTTGGGTTTTTGCTG